CATTGGTTTAATAGACATACAAGGAGCTCTGGTAGCATAGTGCTTAAAGCATTCAGCTGCTAGCCAAAAAGGTCAATGGTTGGGAACCCACCAGCTGCTTTGTGGGAGAAAGATGAGTCAGTCTTTTTCTGTAAAGATTCACAGCCTTAGAAATCCTAGGAGGCAATTGCTATGACTCGGAATCAACTCGATGATGGTGGGTTTTGTTTTGGGTTTGGTTAATAGGCACCCCAATATACTATGGGAATTCAGGGTAGAGGGAAGACTCATTCTCTGTGAGAGACTTGGAGGAAGGAAAGAGAACTAAAGGCTTCACATAGGAAATGACGTTTGAGCTGAGTCTTGAATTATTAGGAATTTACTAGGCAAAGAAAGGGAGCTCTGGTGGTGTAGTGCCTGAGACATTTGACTACTAACCAGAAGGCTGGTAGTTCAAACCCACCAGCCACTCCTTGGAAGGAAGATTGGGCAATCTACTTCCATACAGATACTGCCTTGGAAACCCAAGGAGAGGTCACGATGAGTTGAATTGATTCAGCAGCAGTGAGTTTGGTTTTTTGTTTTTTTAGTCAAAGAAAGGGAAAGGAACTTCCAAATTATCTTTGGTTCCTCCATATCCCCACACTTAGATATCAAGTCTTATTGTAGATTCTACATCCAAAATATCACTTACATCTGTTGCTTTCTATTATGCTCTCTGCCACTGTCCTAATCCTGTAGTTCTCACTTGGATTACTACAACAGCTCCATAACTAGTCATTCTGCCACTAATCTTCCCAACCCCCAATCCATTCTCCATGATGCTGTCAGAGTGAACATACAAACAAACATACAAATCTGAAGGTGTCACTCCCTGTGGTAGTTAAGTTTGTGTGTCAACTTGGCTGGGCCTGTTTGAGTGGCTGGGCAGCTGGATGTAGTATTCTGCATGATGAGACTGGTAATCGACTCCATTGTGGAATCAACTGTGAGCAGCTGAGTAGCTGCTTTAGGGATGTGGTCTGCTTCCTGTAATAAGGAGAAGCCTTGGGAACGGTCTCTAGTTTATGGCACACTTGGACCCTGCATGTAGCTGTCATTGTTCAGCAGCCTGCCATGCTCTGCCAACCTTGGGACTTACAATGCCCTGCTGTGTGGTTTGGTAAAATTGGGACTGTACCATTTTATTTGTCAACCTTGGGCTTGTTAGCCTCAGCAGCCAGTAGCTGCCTGAGTGAAGTGATGCCTCTAGCTTCAGTGGACTGGGAGCAAGAGGCAGAGCTGAAGCCTAAGGTTGAGGGGCTTTCACATAGCCCCTAAAGCCTGGCACTATGAACTCGGACTTCTAGCCTCCTGAACTGTAAGAGAATAAATTCCTGTTTGTTAAGGCCATCCCATTTGTGGTATATTCTTGTCAGAGCAGTACTAGGTAACCAGAACATTGCCCTACTCAAAACCCTTAATAATTTCCCACTAGTGGCCCATCACATGTTGGTCATAGTTTATCTTTCCCAACTCACTTCTAGCCATTCCACTCCTTGAACCCTCCATTCTAGCCACAGCAGATTATTGTGTAAATCCGAAGATACACCAAGCCCTTTCAGATACCTGTTTTTGTCCACAGTATTCTCCCATCCTAGACACCACAATCTTTCCCCCCCTTGACTATGTAAGTTCAGCCTGGCCTAGTCCAGGAATCAAAGGGAGCCCAGCTTGGTAGTATTTTATAGCCCCTTCTCTACTATCAGTCAGGTCTGGCATTTAAGTATTGTGGAATCAGTAAATGGATCAAATATTCCCCTCTAGTCTTCTCTGTGTGATCCCAGCTTATCTGATTGGACATCTGAACCAGTTTGTGGTTGCCATGCCAGTTTTCTATGGATACTGCAGCCTGCTTTGAAATCCCAACTCAGCTGGCTGGGGCCTTGGTTACACTCCTAGTTCAGCCAGCCACCTTCATCCTGGAACTCATTCTGTCTCTTTACCCCCAGATCCTGGCATCTCCGCATAAAGATGCCCCTAAGAGACTACACATGCACACACACACACACACACAACCCTTAGCTGTCAAGTCAATTTTGACTCATGGTGACTCCATGTGACACTGTAGAACTGCTCCATAGGGTCTTGGCTCTAATTTTTATGAAAGCAAATCACCAGTCTTTCTTCCATGGAGCCAATGGATGGGTTCGAACCATCCTTTGGGTCAGTAGTCGAGTGCAAACCATTTGTACCACCCAGGGACCTTAAAATACCATGCTATTGTTCCTACTGTTAGGTGTCATCGAGTCGATTTTTGACTCATAGCGACCCCATGTGACAGAGTAGAACTGCCTCATAGGATTTTCTAGGCTGGTGGCATATTGCCTAAACACTTGACTGCTAACCAGAAGGCTGGAGGTTCAAACCCACCAGCCACTCCTCGGAAGATTGAACAATCTACTTCCATAGTGATACTGCCTTGGA